ACACACACACACACACACACACCTAAAAACGTGCACCTACACACATACACATACTAACACATGTGCACATGCGCCCAGGCATATTCTACATTATTATTACACCAAGTCATAATTACCTGAGGTTTTTTCTTTCTTCTATTCTCAGGATAGCTCTGGTCGAGTGCTGGACAAGTGGTGTGTGGCTACCAGAGAGGAAGAGCTGGTCGTCCTTCAGCAGTTCCTGCGATTTGGAGAGACGAAGGCCATTGCCCAAGAAATCATTTTACAGGACACCAAAGACCGTCATGACGTCCTGGTCAAGCAAACGTCCCGCGCCGAATCTGACATCAAAAAGTTCATTGAGCGAAGCAACATGTCCATGCAAAACTACATCAAATCTTACGAATCAACTCGCCAGCTCTTTGGGCCGAGAACTGTCCCGTTCATACCATCAGGCACACGAGTGATGACCACGCCTCTCATCTCCCCTAACTATTCCCCGACTCGTGAAACGCGCGCTCTGTCCCTGCCTCAGACTCCGACAACCACCTCCACGCCGATGACAACACAGCCTCTCAACCGCCTTCAGGTGTTGCAACCATTTGACGCTCGTCTTGAGCAGACCAGCCCAGCTGCTGGAAGTAGCCTCAGTCCAGGAACAGTCGAGAAAAATGCTATGAGAAAATCTTCTCCCGTCTGCGACAGCCCCAAAAATTTGAGTACTACTCCAACGCCATCTGCTCCTACAACTGCAACGTCACCATCACATGTTCAACAACAGCAACAACAACAACAACAACTGTTGCTGCATCAGCAGCAGCAACAACAACAACAGCAGCAGCAGCAGCAACAACAGCAACAACAACAGCAGCAGCAACAGCTCAGTCAGCAGACAGGGCAGGCTCCAGGGATGGATGAGGTGGACGGCGACCAGTACTTGTCCGGCTCTGATGAAGAAGGAGAAGTTCTGGACTTTTCTAACAAAGACAACCCCGACTCCCCCTCCGACCCTGACAAAAAGAACAAACAACACATGCGCAAGTCCTGCAACCCAATTAAGCGGCAGTGGACCCCTTCAGCAAATTTTGGTAGCACTTTCGTGGGTCCTAATGGCAAGAAAAGAGTACTTTGTACTGCCTGCAACAAAACCTTCTGTGATAAGGGAGCTCTAAAGATTCACTACAGTGCGGTGCACCTGAAAGAGATGCACAAGTGCACTGTGGAAGGCTGCAACATGATGTTTAGCTCTAGAAGGAGCCGGAACAGGCACAGCGCCAACCCCAACCCAAAGCTTCACATGCCACAGAAAAGAAAAGATGAGATGGACCAACAAGAAGAAATGGATCTCTCAGCCTCCCCAGCAAATGGAAATGGCATAGTCCACGCTATAGTCCCCACCACAGCCCCACTCGTCCCCACTCCCGTGTCTGCTATCACAGTCCCAGCAACCACCCTCCCAATTCTCGAAGCTCCCCGATTAGTCCGAACAGACCCCAACTTTTTTATGGAAATGTCGGCCCAGTTTCCTTTCTTGACCCCTCCAGAAAAGAGGATAAAACTAGAAGATGACCAGCCAACTGACTTGAGTAAGATTTCAAAGACAATTGCTACAGTAATTGCTGCTGCTGCTACTGCCAATGCAAGTAGCAGTGAAGAGGGACCATGTGATTTGAGCAAAAAATTGGAGGTAGGTGAGAGGAAACTTGAGATAGATCTAGATGCTCCGAGTAATGACAAGGAAGATCCACGGGTAGAAGACATGGCTGATGGGGACCAGGAAGAAGAGGGCACAAAAAACGAAAATGGAAACAAAGGTGCTGGGAACCGACGGAAAAATAATGCCCCGATAAGATGTGCTCAAAATGAAGAAAGCGTTGCCACAAGTGATGATAATTCAGATGACAAAGATAGAAAACGACGAAACCTTCCTCTTGTGCCGAAAAATGAGACCAACAGTTCTAGTTCTTGCAGTTCTAACGCTGAAGACAACAGCAAGACAAACTGCCCATCGTCTAGTGGGAATGTAGATGGAAACCAGAGGAGTGTTAGTGAAGAGCAGAAAGGTGTGAATGAGGAGGACCAAAAATGGGAGGAAAATGAGAACTTTTCTCAAGTCAGTATGGACAAAAGAGGGGATGGGAATGAGGCCAAAAATTTCCCCAAGATTGCCTCTTTGCTTTGTTCGAGTGGGGCAGGTATGGAGTCGGAAGTTGAGGGGGAAATGAACGAAGACGATGCTGCTTTCCCCGTAGAAAAAGAAAACGGATCTCAAGAAGATGAGGATCAAGATGGAGAAAACGTGTCTTTATCAGGAGCAGACAGTCTGGAGGAGGGAGAGTGCTGCATAGCGAGTGACATTCTACAGGACTATCCCCCAGAAGTCTATGTGGACAAAGACAACCCACTGAAGTGTAAAATTTGTGACAAAGTTTTCCAAAACAACTTTACCGTGAAAATACATTTTCAGAACGTGCACCTCAAAGTGATGCACGGCTGCACAGTAGGAGGGTGTAATGCGACGTTCCCCTCCAAAAGGAGTCGAGATCGACACAGCGCTAATCTGAATCTTCACCGTCGCCTGCTAGCTGAGGAAAATAATGCAGACGAGGAGATAGATGACACAACAAGAGGGGACATCCTCGCCAAATTGTACGGCCACGACCTTGTGGGCAATAAATCTGGCACAGAGGGGGCTGACGAGGAGGCCACTGAAAAGGACACAAGTCCTCCAGTAGCTGTCGTTCACCTCAATAACAATGATAATAATAGCAATAATAATAATAACAATATTGAAAATAAGATAGACAAGGACGACGATGATAAAAAGATTGGCCCCCTGAAGGTTGATAAACTTTTGAACAAAAAAGTAGAAAGTGATCAAGGGAGAAATGGCATCAAACTGACCATTCAGAACGGGTTTAACGGACATGCGAGGAAGGCAGGATCTGCAGGGTCAGATGCAGTTTCAGAAGACAGCGATGGGGAGGAAGGGGACGAAGCAAAATCTGAGCTGTTTGCCATTGAGCCATTCAAGATGACATGCCACGTCTGCGGGGATAAGTTCTCCAACCCGTTAGTTTTGCAAGAACACATCAGCACAGTTCACTCGGATCACCTCGGAGAAACTCCGGATTTCTCAATTGCCAGATCCCTAGCGTCCAGAAAGGCACGGAGCAGGCAGAAGGTGGCACGTGTGGGGGTGGCCACTAGAAAGACCAGTAGCAGTGTTTGAGAAATCCTCATAATTATATAATAATATGTGAGACTTCAGGATGACAACAGACGCTCGTCAAAATAATGAAATCGAAGAAACCGGAGTTTTTCTGCTTGTTTCATAATTTTATCAAATTTTTGTTTCCTGGCTCGACAACTGTTATGTCCATTTAAAAGCATGTTTCTGTGTAGATTTTACGGAAAAATGTTGACGAAAGGAACAAAAAAGTAAATTTGCAGTTTCCAAGGACTCTCATGCTTTAGAAGTCATCAAACTTTGGCAGCCATTTTCTCGCTAATTTTTCATCTGAAACCAGGCATCTCCAACCTACTTCAATTTGCAAATATCACGACTTCTTTTCTAGATAGACGAGCATTTGTTTCATTGATAACAAGACACATGAACAAACTTCAAGATGATACCAGTAACTCTGCATGCCCCAAAATTGACAAGCGCCTGATTCCACCCCGTCGTTGCACATATGTACATTGTTAATTGCATGAAATTCTGTGATTGTGCTGTGTACAAATCACTCTAATGAAGTGCATAGAAGTGTGCCAAAATCTAAGAGACAGTGAAAGGAGGGAATCATCCACAACTCGAACCTGTTGATGAGCATCTGCTTCACAGTCAGTAGTGGCAGCTGCTCTATTGCCTTCACTTCGTATTGAAAGAAAAGAAATTAAAATCCATGTCTTGTTGTTGGTGTTAGATTTCAGACGAATATAACAAAATTTTCCTATCGATTTAGTAAATTGCTGTGCTTTTAGAAGTATCATTCATTTGTATTATTTGACAAAGTGCCTAGAAACATCGAGTTAGAAACATCGTATATATAACTTTTTACTGTGTACTCTTTGCTGATAACTCTCATTGATAGAGTGCAGACTTAAGTATGTAAACTACTAAAGTGTACAAAATTAAATTTGTCTTATGTCTTGTATTTATAGGATCAGTAGTTGTATACAAGTACTGGTATTTGTTTTGACAGTGAACTTGAGGTTTACAAAACGACTCAAGACTTTTAAAACTTTTTTGGGTCAGTGTGAGTTGAAGCAGTTAATTTTCCTCGCTATTTTCAAATTTCAATTGCGAAAGGTTTTAAAGGGATACGAAAAGTATTTGCCTTTAGTTTTTGAAAGCTTTTTCTTTCCGACAGTTTTTTTTCTCTGCCACTGTGAGAAAAGCTTTATCTCACCTGATAGACGCAATAGAAAGCTGTGTTAATGGTAATTAATAATACAGCTAGCAGAATCCCCAAATATGCCATGATCAATACAGTAGCCAATATGATTAACAAGCCGTACAAATGTTGTATTTTTATATATCCGTTTGTGAGACCTGAAATTGAATATAAGAGTTAACGTTCCTTTCTAATCAAACATACCATTGAGAAAAACAGACTTTGGAAAAGCTTCATGTTCATGTTGAAAGTTGCATTTCCAATACAAAGTAGCCTTAGATGTACTTGCAACACTAATAAGTTGTACTACACATTGGTTGATAGATTTTTAGACTTTTTTTTTTCCTGAAGATGTCTAATTTGGAAATATTATGCCAATGAATTCTTTTGCAGGCCTGTATACTTTGATAATTTTGAATTTGTGTTACAAATCCCTGAGTACATTCAAAGATTGTACATTTGTTGCATTTCAGTATTTAACATAATTTTGTTGATCATTTCTATGCAAACCGTATACATTGTTTTAATTTGTTTTATATTATAGCAATCAGCATATACAATATACGTATATACATATATCTACCATCGTACTCTCACGTTAATGCACGCTTTTATATTTGCTCTGAGAGCTACTGCCTGTGTTTCACAGATTCTTTACAGAAATGTTATGATTTTTTTTCGTTGACTCAAGATTACCGCACTTCACTTGTCTTCCCCAAGAACTCAGTGGGGCAAATGCAAAACAGCCTTGATATTGCCATGTTGGGCCCAATATTTTTTATGAGCCTTTGATTGTATATTAGTTGAGAGATCTCAATGTTAAGATTAGCTGCCTTAGTTTCCATGACAAGCACACTGGTTTACCCCCTTGTTTTACACGTTTATATGCTGCCTGTTAGATTTTTTTGTACATACTGGAACACTCATGTATACAACGCCTCTTATGCTCCTTGATTTTGTCAAGCAAAATGTGAATTGTACTGATTTATGGAGTTTGTTCACTTGATATCTTATTGTATTTCTGATTTGGAAACATGTCTTCATGTAAATTCACAGGTCATTTAACACTTTGCCCCCATGGACGCCGATCGGTGACAGTAAGAAACCGTACTTTTTCCCCACGGGACGCCAATTGGCGACGGTGTGATATAAAGCATGTACCGCATCTGTATCCTGGTCCGTGGGGATAAGCGCTGCGTAAGTGAAGAGTGTAAAGAACCTGTGAGCTTCTATTCATTGTCTGGAAGAAATGGTTCTAGCTGGTTGAGAAATTTCATATCTCTCAAAGGACACCAATCTCTTCTTTTTCATTCGAGATCCTTTGAAAATCTTCACAACAATTGAGTTGAGCACTGTAAAGTGTGCAGTATTTCTGAGAGAAAAAAGAAACCCCCAAATAATCTTACAAATTCCTCTCACTTGTGGAATGTATGCTGCTTAAACAGTACAACACCTATGCAGTAATCCTCCCATTTATAGCTGCTGTGGTCTTAAGGTTTAGTTTAGGGCATGCTGCGGTTAAGTAGTATTTCTTTAAGCAATTCCGCACCAATGTGTTGGTGAGAAATACTCTTTATCATGTTGACACTCAAGGTCGCATTATACTCAAAGGAAACGGCTTATCAATCTGAATCCAGAGTAGCATTTTAATTAATTTGTAGGCCTAACTGGACAGCATTTTTTTAAAACCCTCTTTTCCTGCCACTAAGCTGTTTCCTTTTACATTTGAGTCTTCATATTTTGTCAGATTTACGCCCCAATGTGGGGTATAATGGTTTGGCTGTTGACATAAAATGGTTCCTGGTGGAAATTCATTGTATTGCCTGCTGAGACGCTCTATCCTACTCCTCCTTAGTTTGCCCTGATAGCAAATGATTTAAATTGTGACGATAAATGTCTAAAACATTTGTAATCCAAAAGCTTTTTCTCAAGACTGTGTATAAAACCAGCTGGTCTCAGCGAAAAAAAAAAGCAGAACAACAACTTGAAAAGTAGTACACCCTAACTGATTCGGAAACAGAAATATGGGATTTCTTTCTTATCATAGTGAAGGACATGAATCACTTTTACATCATATGAAATCTGCTGGTCGGTCCACTTAATGAGTGAACAAAGTTTAGAAGTGTTATATGTCACCGACTCATTTCAGCTGTTGTATGTGTCAGATAAACTTGTATTGTTTTATTTTTCACATCGAAACAAAAATGTGTTGGGTTTTTTCTTCCAAATACAGTGATTTATGTAAAAATAATTTTTAAAATGCAAATCTGTAATAGAGAAAAGATATGTTCTTGTTTTAATTACATAAGAAATTGGGTTTGGTTTTCTGTTTCCATGCGTATAGATTCTTCCTCACGATAATATTATGGACATTTACTTTTGTCAATAATTGTCGAATTTGCCTTTTTACACCCTGAAAACAAGTTACATTCATTTTTGTGTCCTGTGTTTTCCATCCAGTGTATTCTACGATATACACAGAATTCTATAAGTTATTACCAATAAGTCTTTACATTCAACTGATTTCTCAAGATCCAGTCAAATTGAAAATATTTTTCTATTGTCTGTCCTTTTTTTTTCCTTCTCTTTTTTTCTTCTGCTGTGTACGGTACTGCATTGACAATGCCTTGAAATATGACATGCAGTACATGCTAGTGTCCAAACATTTCTGGATTTCCTGCTTTTGTTGACCTTGACCTCATGAGCCTTGTGCAGTGCGTGCACAGAGAAGACCTTCCTTTGTAAATGAATCATTAGTGACTCGTGCACAGAGAAGACCTTCCTTTGTAAATGAATCATTAGTGACTCGTAAATTGCTCCGGGTTTGAAAGTTTGTTGCTGTTCATTTTTTTACTCTTTGCTCCAAATGATTTTGAAATTGCATACATTTAAATAAAAGTAGATTTTCAAAAGCTAGAATAAATGTAGTGTATAAAGTTACATATTTGGAGAGCCTTGAGAAGACTCTTTATAGAAAATGGTGGAGTCCACAAAAACCAAAATCTGCGGGACTGTTGGGTTTTCTTCAGTTTTGCTGCATTTTTCTGTTTAAGGAAGTTGTTCAAATAAGGAAATATTTGTGGAAATTATGGGGATTTTACTCTTTCGGTTTACTGTTGTTTTCAGATTCTGATATGTGATTTAAGGGGACTCCATCGTGTTTTATTCAGTGATGAGGAAGGGTGAGCTCAAGGATTTTGTCTGCTTTGATACGTTTTGTGTATATAATGCATTTAAAAAAATTTACATGGACACAGAATGATGACATCCTGTAAAGCTTTACGTTTCCCATTGACTTGTAGCTGTGTAGAGATGATTTGTTAAACTATTGCACCTCTCAGAAATATTAAGAACTTTGTGAGTTCTGAGGAAGGGGACAGGGTGTCTTTCACAATATAAATTAATTGTTTTATGTACAAGTAAACTTAACATTGAACAATTTGTTAATCTTTCAACAAAAGCAAAAAAAACTTAAGATTTTGACCCGGGCTGAGAAGTAAAATTCGCTTTGTAGAGGGATATATTCTTCTTATTTTGAATGGCAGTTCCAGAGGATTCTTCATGTAAGAATAATGATAATGCAGATAATTCTTATAGCGCCCACTCCAGTAGAACAGTAAAATATACTTGTAGCTCTAGGTGCTTTTCACGACTTTCATCTCAATACAAAACACAAGTGAACGAACATGCATACATACACTCCTCTGATTAATGCAAACACATAAGCAGACATTCATACTATCACAGTTCAATCAATAACGATATGCACATCGCGCTGAATACAATAGTACAATGAATAAGAAGGATTAACTGTCAAGATTGTGTTTCATAAGGTATATGTGGTCATACACCTCATATCACTACAGTGTAGTGAAACATATCAAATGTGTCAACTTTTAATTTATGTTAATTA